CACACACGTACATAAATATGTATATTTATATAGAGCCTAGTGGGGTGCGACATGCAACTACATGAGGGGACCGGGCGCAAGAGTGGCATGTGGAGGATGAGGATTTATAGTGTAGAGTGTGCGGGGGCCGGTGGGGAGGCGCCTGAACATCGACATTGTTGCGCATATTGGCAAAGTTTGTAATTTGCCGCCATCTCTGTATGTTGCTGGGTCGCTCGAAAACAGCTGTTTGTAGCGCCCTCTCTCACTCAATTAACCAGCTCAAGCAATTGAGTGGGAACGCATGCTGAGAGTTCTGCACACAATGAGCGCGTTGCGGTAAGCGTTGCGCCCGCAAGTGTGGGGCAGTGCTGTTGGGTGTCGGTTGGGCGATTCATCAAAGACACACAAACTAAAAATTATGAAATGGCCATAATACACACACACACACACACTCGCACACACTCGCACGCGCACGCACACTCAAATCAAGATGTTAGCAATTGGAACTAACTCAACCAGGGCTCTCAACCGCATGATGAGCTAGTGGCTGGTGGACACCCCGAGGGTTGGGATTGTGTCGCTTGGGTCGCCTTGAGCGCGCGCCTCGGCAATTGAGCTTCGTGTTTGGCCAAACGACGCCAAACTGCGCACGCCACGCAGCGTGCGTCTCGGTCGACGTCGCTGTCGCCGTCGCCGTCTTGAGCTCTTGAGCGATTTAACGGCAATCGACTTGACAGTTGTAACTCATTGTCTGACGCCGACGCTGCCGCTGCCGCTGCCGCTGCCGCTGCCGCTGTCCCTGGCGCTGACTTCTTTGTTAACCCAGCCCGCCCACAATGTCCATTACGTATAGAGCGCATATGAATGCATATGCGCATGCATGTACATACATGTACATATATTTGCCCACTGGCTAAGCAAATGGCAAATATACTGTTATATATTTTGTTATTTTTTATTTTGGGGCGGCAGTGACCCCCATTGATAGCACCTCTCTCAGCCGAGGTGGCCTACGACGATTTGTTCTCGAAAGGTTTGTTCATTATTTGATTGGGCGTTTGGCTCTGGCGGACACTAAAAATAAATCCAACAATTTTCTACTTCACGCGTGTAAGGGGCAAAACATCATTAGACATTAAGGCTAGTATGTTGAAAGTGAACAAAAAAAAATAAGCAAAAAAAAAAAAACAAACTCAGCATGTGTGCAGACGGTCGATGTCGATGTCGATGTCGATCCGCAGTCGGTTTGTCTATATATAAACGCAGCACAAGACAAGGCAAGACAAGACAAGATGAAAACGAATAAAATACGAGTACAAAATTCAAGATGAGATATTCAGATACATACACCCATATTCTACATGAACACACACTCGCACACACACTCGCACACACACACATGATCATACTAAGCAGCAGCATCAAGAGTCTAGCCAAAAAGACTTTCGCATTTAAATAAACGATTCGATTCATTCATTTGTATTTACACATTTCTCTTGAATGTATATTCTTGTACATTCGTGTGCATAAATTTGACCTTACATTATAATATCTGGCACTGAATTCATAAGCACAAAACCACATCGGGTTTTCCATATTGTGAGCCAATATTTTGATCAATTTGCATCAATACGAAAGTTGTGTATTGTTCCGGTTCGGTTCCGGTTCCGGTCCTCCGGTTCGAACTGGCAACTTTTATTATTAATACTTTGTGCTTTTATCAAGAACCGAACCAGTTGCTGAACAACTAACGAACCTATGTTCGAACTGGCTCATGCAAAAGACATCACCTTGGTACATTTGCAAATAATTTGTACCATCAATTTAATATACTTAGTTGAAATGGAAACAATATTTCTTTTCTATACCGATTTTTTATTGATCCCTCTTGGAACAATAAATATGCCCTGAACCCGTTAAAAAATTGGCAGAAGAAAGTATCCCCGACCCCTTAAAGTATCTATAACAAGTAAGAGGTTCTAGTCGGGAGCTCCCGACTAGGGGATACCCGGAACCCTTCTCTTCCAACATCAAATGCATATATATATTCTATTTTAGAAGCTATATGTCAAGTTTGGTGACTCTGGCTCTTATTATTTACCAAAACTGCCCAAAAAACAGGATATCGATATCGATTTTTATCGATTGCTTGGAAACGGGGCAAGTTATCGATTTTCGGTTACAAACTCGATCTGCGCGGGAACTAGGAGCACCTACATCTAAATTTCAAGTCTCTAGCTCTTATAGGTTCTGAGATCCTTGCGTTCATACATACGGACGGACGGACGGACAGACGGACGTACATGGCTTGATCGACTCGGCTATTGATGCTGATCAAGAATATATATACTTAATGGGGTCGGAGATGCTTTCTTCTGCCTGTTACATAAATTTGGCTTTCGCACAAACACAATATACCCTTATACCCATTTTGAATGGGTTCAGGGTATAAATATGTTCAGGTCGACGAGCTGTAAGAAGCCATCGATCTCGAAAACTACAAATGCTAGACACTTGAAATGTTTAATATATACCACATACAGAAACAGTTTACCATATTTTTTCTGATATTTTAAATAACGATTTCAAGACTTTTTCTTTAAGCATAACTCGAATATTACAAGCGCTACATATAACAACTTGGTTTGTAGGTTCTCGTATGGCATACAAATATAAGGAATATATTATTTTTAAGACACCTCCACCATTCCTTTCGAAATCGAAGATTTTTAAATGTAGAGCCAAGCGCTTTGGTATATACAAAATGTTGGGTGCTATTTCGGGCCCCAAAATTGACAAAGATCGGACTCTAAGCACCGAAGTTGTTCAAGAATATAAACACATTTTATAAAGATCGGACTCTAAGCACCGAAGTTTATCTAGAATGTATACACATTTAATACAGATCGGACTCTAAGCACCGAAGTTGCTCAAGAATATAAACACATTTAATAAAGATCGGACTCTAAGCACCGAAGTTTATCTAGAGTGCAAGGCAAGAAGAAGAACATGAATGTGTTTTTCTATATATACGTAAGAGGGAAGGCTAAAATGTTTGGACCGGAAGCTCAGTACTGGATTCGGGGTATCTCCCAGCTTGGTACTCCAGACACTTACTTGTAGGAATATAAATAAACAATTCTGTGAGTCCCCCCTCTTTATGTGTATGTGTATTCAATTAGTAATAATATAAAAGTTTATGTAAATTTTGTTAATGCATTTGTTTTTCTCTTTCGCAAAAAAATGTTTTACATTAAACGAGCAAAATGCAGGCACTGTGCACTAATATTTACTTATGCACTTTGGAATTTTTAATACGACTTTAGTTTTTTTTTTAAAATTAATTTTATTTTTTTTTTTATTTTTTGCTGTACCTTGGTACGGAATATGGCAACAGCAACAGTTGGAAATGTTTTCGTTTGGCAGCCCCACAAAGTTGGCGCGGTGGGAGGGAGGGGGGTGGGAGGAGGAGGAGGAGGTCTTTAGACAACTACGTTAGCTCTCAGTTTTTCTGCAATTGTGCGATTTTGAAATTGTTTTGTTGTTTTATTACTTTTACAAAGTATTTACTCATGTATGTGCACGTATGTGTGTGTGTGTGCGTGTGTGTGTGGATGTTGTGAAATTGCTTTCTTTGTTAGTTAGTTGGGCTTATATTGGGCCATCCCAAAGAGCACTTTGAAAAACACTTGGAATTTTTCATTGCCAATTACAACAGGCTAGGCAAATGTAAAATGCGAAAGGCAAAAAAACAAAAAAAAAAATAACGTGAATGCATTCCGCGCAGTAACAGACCCAGGCCCTGAACCCCGGGAACCCCGGGAACAGTCAGTCCAACCCCAATCGCTCGTTCGACTTGGCCCGTCGAAATGGGCCGCCAGAAAAGCTGCCGCAGACGCAGCCAAGAAAGAAAACAAAAAACAAAAAGCAAATAAATTCCAAAACGAAACGTTAAGAATTTTACGTTCGAGATACTTTTATCAGCTACTGCTGCCGCTGCCGCTGCCGCTGCCATGACTGCTCAGCCTGCATTCCCGGCTGCAAGCCAACCTGTTACAACATGCAATCGACAGGCCTCAAACAAGGCGGAAAAATTAACGCAGCCTGCAATTGCAAATTGTGAATGGGTGAATGTATCCAAGCGTGACGCAAATATCTTCCTTCAGTTTTGGCCATTGGGCAAACGGATATGATCTTTGATCGTTGACGGTCAAGCTTTCAAATGGTTCTCAAAATGAATTTACATCAAAATCCCAAAACAGCTGTGCTCAGTGGTTCGAACCAGCTTGCTGCCTTTGAGCTCATCTCGTTAAGCTGAGTTTCTATATTCCAGTACCCAGGTTTTGATTCAAACATGGTTTGCGGTAGACTTTGGCGCTATTGCATTTGCTTAGGTTGAATTTCAACTATATTTCTATTCCTTTGCTATTTTTCAATCAAACTTTTGTGTGATTTTATTTATTTATCGATTAGAATATTTGTTGGATTTGAATACCCAAGCTATAAGCTTTTCGAATTTGGATTTTTGAATATACTCAACTCAATTTGACATATAATTGTATTTCATTTGTAAAAGTAAAAGTTTTTTTCTAAATTGCAAAGGTATTTTAAATGCATACCAATATTTGTATCTTAGAAACGATTTAAAATTGACTTTTGTCTAATAGAAAGAACAAATTCTTTCTGCTAGGTTTTCCAACTCCTCCCAAATTGTCTAAACATAACGGTAATTTTCGGCCATGTTTTAAAGTTTGCAAGCCAATTTGTAGGCTCATTAAAAATATGAACATTTATTTAATCATCATCAAATATTGAAGTATATAAATACAACTTATCGTATTGATTTTGCATTTAAATGATTAAAGCAAATTTAATTGTACAAAAAATGCACAAATAAAGTTTTCGGGGCATCGGTATCGAAGCAAGAATAACGAACAAGTATCGATAAGTATTCAATTGTTGCCGATGCTTGGCGCTTGCCGTATCGATAATTAATCGCACATCTCTAATGCATTTGTGTATGCAATAGAGACATTTGTATGGCAAAATTATTTACATTCGTTTAACTGGCCAAAAATCAAAATGGAAAACTTGGCGTTGAGGCGAGGGGCCAATGCCAGCTGCAACTGTGAGTAGATGCTACGGTTAAAATTGAATTTGAGCAAATCCAGCATTTGCACAAGGACCTTTTCATGTAATACATATTTGTTTCTTTTTTTTTTTCGTTTTTTTTTTTTTTTTTTGTTTCATGGCCATTTGTGCACATTATTGTTTTGTGTACATGTAAAATATGTAGTCAACAATATGACAGACGAACAGCTGCAGGCTTGGCACACAGCCGTGCTGTCGGAGGCGCAGCGCGAGAATTATGTTAACCATAACTTGGAAATTGTGCGACATTATCGCACCGAGGCGATTTCCCGTGCGCCCGCTTTCGATCTTGAGCGCAATGCCATAGACGCAGCTATCGCCCGGCATGGCCTATGCGTGCCCCATGCTGTTGCCAGCAGTGAGAGCATTGCGCGCACACAGGCAGCAGCAGCAGCAGCACTAGCCGCTACCCAGGAGGAGCTACAACCGCCTCCAATACGACGTCCACGAATGGAACAGCCGGAGGAGCAGCAGCCGAACGTTACTGCTGCGCCCAGCGTGAGCGGCACAGCTGCAGCTTCAGCTACAGCGACTGGCAGCAGATATGGCCACTATGTTGCACTGGCCCACATATTCTCCGATACGTATGCGGCAAGCTCCACGGAGGCAACAGTCGCAGCCAGTGGAGCCGTGAGTGCCAATGGCGATGTCAGTAGCACTAATAATAATAATAATAGTAGTACTAATAAAAATCAGGAGCCCGAGGAGGCGGAAATAAATGATATGGCGATAACGAAAACCATTGATAGTCTGGGCCTGCGTCGCACCTAATGTAGTTGTAATAACATTTAAGTATCATATTTATTCAAACAATTGTTAAAAGATCAGTGTGTGCAACATATTGTTTAGAACGTGTAATGTATGTGTATTTAACTAGACGTTATTTCCAAAATTTGTTTCCCGGAATAGGCAAGAAACAAAAACGATATTTGATAGATGCTGTATGATGTAAATAATATCAGTTGACTTTTGTAAATAGTGCATTTTACCTATAGTTGTTTAGCATTTAAGCGTAGAGTACTTAATCGCATGTACGTATGTATATATCTATTATATATATATACGACAAATACATAAATATATAACATATATCTCATATGATTTAGAAACAATCAATAAACATGTAATTTTCTCTTATTGACCCAACAAACAATCACTTTAACCTGGTCCGAACCCTAGCAAAAATGTTGCCACGAAATACAGCATATGCAAATAGAATATATATACGATTCTTTACTTTGTTTTAAAAGCAAAGTAAGACATTAATATATGCTTTTTCGAATATAATACTCTGTTTTCAAAACGAAATAAAAACATCTAATATTCTTATTTGTGTACACAACCAAGTTCGTTTTAAATAGGAATTTAGAATCGGAATAGAGGATATTTGGATTTGCTCGAGTTCAAACCTATTTCGTGGCGCCAGAAAAACAATAGCAAACCAAAAGGTATATACGTTTTGAGTTTAATAATTTACAAATTAATAAGGAACAAGTGTTTAAATATCGTTATATGCATCACATACGCTCTCGTATGCTCGTTGAGTCTCATAATTTAGACGTCGGCGCTGATAGTGCACTGGATATCCATTTCATAACTATATTGGGGAATGTGTGAGGGTGCTTTCTTTCGGACACAACTAACGGCAGGAGGGAATGGGGCGTATATATATATTTATACATACTGGGAGTAGCCGATGCAGCGCCGATTATACATACATATATAGTTTATATATAGTTTACTCTCATTGATAAGCTTTTTTTTTAATATTGACTAGATTGGTTTAAGTTGCATTCGAGTTGTTGCTGTTGTGGTTGCTTTCACTATCATCGTTGTCCTCATTCTCATTATCAATATCATCGTTAGCTGCATTATCATTATTACGATCAACAGCAACAGCAACAACTCCCGCATTCTCCGCATTCATAGCCACGCGTACAGCGTCTCTACGGTTCCGCCTATTTTCCATGCCGAATGCCGATCCACCCGAGGCGTGCATCAGGCGACGATACTGATGTAGACTGGCCAAAATGCGTATCATGATCTGAGCAGGTACCGTTATAGTATCGCGTGTCTCCACCAGCATTATCTCATTGCTCCTGATCAGCTGCAAATATAGATGATCTTATAAATAAACAATATCAAATCTATAAAGTGGCACGTGTACCTCAGCCGTTTCGCTTTCGTCGAAGTTGGCCTTTGGTGAAATTGGCGCCCAGACCTTCACGTTGTAATCAATGCCCGAGCTAACCAAATAGGGCAGCGTCGGATGCGGCTGGACACGATTCACTACACGATGATCCGCAAGCAGCGTTTTCACCACTTTGCCCGTCTGCCGTTGCCACACAAAGATGTGGCCGCAATCCGAACCGGACATAATGAAGTCGTCGCCCCAGAAACAGGCGCCCTTCACCATGGTACGCGAGTTCCGATGTCCGCTAAACGACATTTTCACATAGTCAAATTTGTTCAGCTCTTGACGATCTTGCCTATTCTCCCTAGCAGGTTCCAGCACAGTGTCGCTCTTCACTTCTGCAGGTTCAGCATTCAAGGATTCAGCAAGTGTGGCATCTATAAAAGGAAAATGTATTTGATATGACGTATGTATGTTATGCATATTCAAAGTAAATGTATTTTTTAATAGTGCCGTTCTACTCGATTCTCATTCATTCAAGTAAGCGTTGCAAGTTTTGATGTTTTTGTTATTGTATGTGCGTGTATGTCTCCTCTACCAAATGCACAGCACGTTAACGTCTGTTTCGAAAACCTTACTATGCGATTCTCAAAAGTTTAGGTAAGTTTTGCATATTTATATGTGCATTAACAAGTTGTGCTGTATGGCGTTCTATTTATGTTTGTTCATACTCTCACTCTAATATATTCTCATGCAGTCTATCTCACTCTTTCTCATTTTATTTCTGCACGCATAAGTCTGCTGTCTCGGTCTTATTGATAGCTGCCATTACAATAATCGTGCATGTGTGTTCTCCTAGGCAAGTACAAATTTACGAAAATATTTAGATATAAATAATAAAATATGTGAATTCAATTTGGATTCTTTTTCCATATGAATATGTACACATTCACTCAGGGTAGGTATCATGGATGGAGGCTATATGTATTTCCAGTCAGTTAATATACTATTTAATAAAGACATAAACTACTTAATACACACGTCTGTGTCCAAATACTTTTCATACTCAGTGTTTTGCGTACGGCAACGGTCAGCGCACTGCTCCACTTACCATCAGCTGACGAGTTCGCAACTGCAGGCGGCGACTCTATAGGAATGGGTGCAGTGGCGGCACTACTAAGTAAGCTGTTGTTGGGAGCTATTGCGGTCTCCCTCTGGTTGTCCAGGGTGCGTAGAACGGCGTCTTGCCAGGACATATGAGCCGGTGTCCTTGGGGTGGAGTAGCTGGTGCTGGTGCTCGGATTTAGGGCACGTAGCTGACGTGTTTGTGAATTGAGCATGCGAAAGATTTCATCGCTGAGTCGACTCAGCACACCGGGCTCCAGCGGTGGACGTGCCTGACCGACATTGGGACGATTGGAACCGTGCTCGGCGCTGGCCATGGAATTGGGGCCTGTATCGGACCAATCGCCGCGAAAACGCAGACGCGGCATTTGCGGCTCTGGATCGTTGTCGCGCCGCAGCTTGGGCGTGTAACAGCCGCTGCGTAGCAGCTCGGCATCATTGTAGCCCGGATGATGCATATCGAACAAATATAGCTGCTCCATGGAATAGCTAACCAGCAGTTCCGATTCGTCGGCGCTAAACTTAACGCAGGTGGGGCGGTAATGCCGGCGTGTATACTTCATCGGTATGGGATACGCTTTCAATGGCCAAGTGATGCGCTCCCGATCGATGCCAGCGGAGAGCATGCGGCGATCATAGAGCCGAACAATGGAGTCCGAGCAGCCAATGGCAACATTATAATGATTAATGGGCGCCACATCCATTGCTGTCACCGCGCAGGGTGCCGTAATAAAGATATGCTTGTCGCAAACGGACTCGGCACAGCGACTGCTCACCCTTAGGTCAATGCAACGGACGGTGCCGTCTTCGCCGCAGCTGAGGAACATGCGTGGGCTGTCCGGCAGCGGCAGGACATCGTATGTACTGCCAAAGGCGTGGCAATCAAAGAAACTGGCATAGCGATCGGGCTCGCCAATGAGCGCCTCCTCCATGCTTCTGCCGGGTCCGTAGGGTGCCAGGAATTCGGTGTGCAACACAATACCCTCGCCGGAGCACGAGATGACCGCCAGATCGTTTGAGTGCGGCATAAAACGTGCACTAAATATATGACGCTTGTGCTGAGTCTTTGTCCTGGCCGCCACACGACCGCTCTTGGTCTCCGTGATGACCAGATGATTGTCATCAGAGCCGGATACAATGAGCGTCCCGCTGGCATTCCAATTAACCGTATTCACACAACCGTTGTGCACGCTCAACGTGCTCAACAGATTCAGGCGTTGCACAAAGTCCAACGAATCTAAAATAAATCGAAATATAATAATTATAATGCAGATTACAAGCGAGCCACAAATCATATCGCCTGCAATTGCCGATAAACTCTAAAATCGCGCCACCACTTACTCTTGCAGCTGGCCTCCAGATTCGCCTGGGCGCTTCCGCTGCCCGCATTATACGGATAGTTGCTGATGCACCGGTGTACACTGTGCCTCTGTCCCTTGTCGGTCATCTTCAAATGCCTCACTGTATGTGGGGTGGTGGGATGATCAGTGGGTCGGTCGATGCGGGGTGGGGTGGGGTTGCATAAACATGTAGAGGTTCATTGGTATTATTAGACAATTGCCAAATATGATGGCCCCGCCGCAGATATGAGCAGGGAAATAAAACAAAAGCACCTATACTATATAGAAAATGTTGATCGTTGCCGCATCGATCATTGAATACCCTAGCATATATTGTTAGCCAAATATTTGAATAGAATTCGAGTTCTACAAGTGCGCATTATCTAACTCTCTTATTTTTGAGATATTAATTTTTTCATTATTTCTACTAATTAAATATATATACACTTGTATAAGCCTTACGATTTTGGCCTATTCAATCTATTATATTCAAATGTCTAATTTTTTCTATAAAACAGCAGTTTAATTTTTTTTAGTAAATATAACTATATATGTACATTATTTCTAAAATATATTTTAATACATATACCAAAAAAAAAAAAAAACTGCGCGATACATGTAAAAACAGGTGTTAATGAAAATTGATTCCAAAGGCTCTCAAACGGTGCTTCAGCGCAGTGACACTCAAACTGCGTCTTAAAATTTTGAGTATATATGTAAGTTTTCATTATTATTTTTACTGACGGGGCAAGGCAAACATTAAATACACTATCTTAAGCAAATCAACAGAAATATTATTTTGAAACGCACATATTGCTTGAACAAATCAAAATATCCAGTACAAGAGTATAAGAACACAAGCACTGAGCAAAATTCATTTTAGGTATGTGTGTGGGCGGGCATATGTATGTACATAGCCAACTTCGCGTCTGACTATATCTTCCGTTTGTGTGTATGTGCGCAAATGTTTTTAGAAAGCAATACAAATTATATAAAAATTCAAAACAAAGCGCCATACAAAACAGTCGATTGACATTAACTATTGAAAGCTTTTCACATTTGGCTATTTCTGTACGGTTTAAAGAGTGCACATTTATTTTTTGAAGTTTTTAACTACAGCGTTACCTAGTTTAAACTGCAGTAAAACATTAGAAAACACTATTTGGGCTGCAGCACACAAACACAAATTCGATATTTATTTTTATTGCGAGCTCAGCTGTCGCACTGTGTGACCGTTTGCCATTCGAACAGGAATCCCAAATGTATTTGTAAAAAAAGAAGCGTTTGCAAATACATACTAGATTTTCTCAATGATATACAGATCAGGCAAAACTTACGTTAGAATTTAATATTGAGTCAAGGTTATTCATGCACGTTGTCAAAAAAAAAAAATGCTTAAAATAGAGCAAATAAAATTGCACACTTGTTGTACGTCTTACGCCAGGCGTTACAAAATATTTAAAATTTTTATATTTGATCAAAAATGCTCTAATTTAGGATTATACAATTTTCACAGTTAGTTAAATATACTTATTTAGTTTTTTTTGATGGAAAGCCAAATGGTCACTTATATATGAACAAATATCATTATGGTTAAATCAATCGTTGAAGACATTAACAATAAGTAAAGCTGGTGGCCGAAGCCCATTTTTGAATTGCTTAACCGTTATTGTCAAAGGTGCTAAAAATGAACAAAATTTTGAACAAGTAGTCATGCGCTCTTATACTTAGCAATCGATAACATCAAAGAAATGTATACCAAAGTGGTATGTTTTTGGCGAGAGCTGGCCACACTAAGCCCGCTGTAATTTCAGTCGTAGCTTAATATTCGAGTCGAGCGTGCGCAACATACGCAGTTAACAGTTGGTCGTTTTAGGTAGCCAACCTGTTGCATTTTTTTTTGTGTTTTGTTTTGTTTCAGTTGTGGAAAGTGCAATACGATAACAACGACTGCGTCAGATAAAATCGAGTTGAAACATAAACTCACCTGCTGCAGCAGCCACACAGAGCGTGTGAGTGGTGCGAGTGTCATACAAATTAGAAATCTTTTGTTTATTTAATAAATACGGCGAAAAAACAACGACAAAAAACGAAAAACAAACAAAACGAGAAGAAATATCAAAAGGTAACGGGCAACAAGTGCTGTTATTGTTGTTGTTGTTGTTATTGTTTGTGCTGTGCTGCTGCTACTGCTACCGTTGTGGTTGTTGCAGTAACTGTTGTTGTTGTTGTTGTTGTTGTTGTTGTAGCAGCTCATGAACAGCGGAAGGTAAATATTGTTAACTCCGGACTTCAAATACGCAAAGCCAAAATGCAAATGGTAAAAATCGTAGTTGCGGCAAAAAGAGAACACGAAAACGAGCAAACTATTAATTTTGTGGGTGAATGTGATTGTTGTTGTTTTTGTTGTTGTTGTCGTTGTTGCTGATGATGTGGAAAAGTTAATGAAGCATCCGCGCTTAAAGCCAACAAATAAGAACATAGCATTCGGCTGTAACCGACTGCACAATACTCTGTCAACAGTGTACCAAGTATATCAGACGACAAAGAGTCTTTTTGCTCATTTGTTATGCTGACTCTAAGACCGTTATGCCAGATCAGTGCTTTTCAAACTGATTAATGGGATGGGGGAGGCGAGAAGGCGTGGCTCCCAAATTTGTGGCTAGCTCTTTAGAGGAAGCCATCAATAGTCTAACTGCAATTTGGTGACTAGCTGTGTTTAAAGGCAAAGTACCCAGTTGGAAATTGGCTCAGCGTTAACTTGCTGAGATCGCCATCAGAATCATCTAGGCCAATGGCATGCAACTGTCACGCAGCAAGACAGCCTTGCTGGCCTGTCTTGCCAGACGTCGAGCAGGACATGTTAGTTGCGTTTTCTTAAACGATATTTATCATTTGCATGACAACCGCTGGCTTCAGTCTTACGACAACAAAACTTCTTTCAGGCTACACGACACGCTCGATGACATGTCATCGAGTTAACGTTGATATGTCATTGAAGCTGCTAGCAATAATCATCTGATTGAGGTTTGATCAGACTTTTATCTGAGCTATATACACGCACATAGACTTGCTTGTATGTGTGTATATATGCAAGTATTTGTGTCAATTGTTGGCACTAGAGAATAACAAATTAAAAATGCCAACCAGTTTAGTCACGCCGCCCGTAACTCTGTACCGTTAGCTCCCCCGCCACCTGGCCATAGAACCAGAAGCTATTGTTGCTGCCGCTTCTGCCACTGTTGCTGCTGCTTTTGTTGTTGTTGCTGCAAATTCTTAAAGCTGCACATCGCTTTTTGTTAAATGCCACCGCGTAGAAAGCGACAAGCAATACAAAAGCATCAACAAATACAAATAAATCTATTTAGTTTTTTGTGTGTTCAACTGAAAAGGTATGGACAATAAATGGATTGGGTTACAGGGTCAGAGGCTCTCAATCAGAGCAATAGTACAGTGCACATTCGATATAGTCAACTCTTAACATATATATAATTGTGTGATTCTTATAATATAAGAAATTGTGCCAAATACCAGCCACACAATCGTAAATATTGCAAATTTCTACAATTGAAAGGTCACAGCCTGATGCAGCAACAGTTTGAAAGTCACTTATTTGTATTTAAATCTAATGAATTCTACTCAATTTTTACTTAGGTTCGGATTTTAAGCTCGCAATTGTCTGGCTTGCTCAGCGTATCTTTGAATATATAATTTCTTTCTCTTTGTTTTATAAACTCGTGTATTGACCGGAAGTTCCTCTGTTCCCCTGAAGTTCCCTGAATTTAAAAATCCGCGTCGCCTAATTCCGACTGGCATAGCATAAATACGGACCTCCTCACATAATATAAGCTTATTAGAACCGAAACAGATGGATATAAAATTGACTTGTCGTCCTGATTGGGAATATATAGACCTTATGGTTTCAGATATGTTTTTTCCTCTGATAGCATCTGCAAGGACATTAATTCGAATTAAACTTCCGCAAGACTCGAGTTTCTGAATGGACTACCTTATATATATAGAGAATACTTTAGAATATTCATATTGAATAAACACTTCAATCTTATTGGAAAATTAAATATTTTAGAATTCCGAATATGTGTGGAATAAGTTAATTTTTGTTGTGCCGACACATTAACCTGTTCCAGGCGTATTTAATTTATGTTTAATTAACTTATTAAGGCAGCCGTTGACAGATGTTTCATGTTTTATTAACCAGAAATGAATAAAATGCCAAAAAAAAAGTCCAGAACAAATGATAAGATTGAATAAATAAACCTGCAGTTAAGCCAAAAGCTAGATAGACAAGAAAAAAAAGGCTATCTACGGCACGCCGAATCTCAAATGCCCTTGTAAACTTACTATATGGCTGAGTGGCTTGTTGGTATGCGAGGAAACTCGTGATGCTTGTAATAGCTGAGATTAGTCTATACATTTTTCACCGATACGTCCAGTACAGCTATATAATATAGTAGTCCGAAGAAGAAGCATTTCATGATGTGTCGACTTTGGCCAAGATATCTTGAAGGACTCAAACATAAACTTGGACCGATCGTTCCTTTATGACATACCCCTGTGTGTTACACATTTGGTGACAAAATCAAAGTACCCTCTATTATACACTTGGAGGTAATATGTTTTCAGGCATTTAACTATATCGTAAGCGTTGAAAAACAAAAACACAATAGATCAAGCGACTTTCTGACAGTTTCACGGCAATTCAGCAATCTTGTTTTCTAGCCGATGTTGATGATTCATGACTGCATACACTACATATTATCTGTGCTATCAGCGATAAGGCTGCTCAGATATGACCAACTATATGCATTATAATTGCGCTGATGAAGTGGCTAATGGCTTATTTACGAATGAATTGAGATTGGAATTTGGTTAGCACAGGCTAGCACCTAGCACAAATGCATTTGATATATTTTCCATTTCTGAAACGAGAGTTGTTTGTATACATGTGTCTGTACATACATCATATAAATCGGAAAAGCGGAACGAATTCGAGAAGTGCCCAGTTTGAGATAAACTTTCCCATTTCAAGAAACAGAAACGAGTGAAAAACACGGCACGATATTTTATTTTGTTCAATCGACAACAACAACAACAGCAAGAAAAGCCAATTGCATTTCGATACCCACTAAATATAGCTAAACAATAGGGTATACGCATGTTATGCGTGTATGTAACTGGCCGAAATGGGCAGCTCCGAACCCATCAAATGCATATATATTAATGATCAGCAAAGGCCATCTATGTCTTCCAGTTTGAATTTCGGAGAGTACAAAGGGATGTCTTTTTTCTCAATACGTTAAAGATATAAGTATAGGGTATTTGCCAGTCGAGCACTATGCTATTAATATTATCGCTAGCCATTAAATGAAGCTGTGCATTTATGCTGCATATAGAGCATAGATTTGTAGATGATATTTAAAGGCGTGTATGTGTACCTATGTGTGTTGCATGCCTCTCTTTACTGCCGCAACATAATAAAGCTTAATGGCAATTCAATGAAAACTGCAACTGAAACTGAAAACTGAAAAGCTTCCCCGCGGAAAAAGTGAAATTTGCCGCCAACGAGAGAGTGCGAAAAAAGAGAAAGAGGTAGAGAGAGAAAAAGATAGAGAGAGAATGCGAAATATTGTTGGTTTGAATTACTCGGATTACTCGACTTGTACTCAATACTCATACGCATACTCCTACTTGTACCCGATCGTGCTAGGAACTACTCGACAAGTACTCGATACTCATACGCATACTCGTACGCGTACGAGTACCCTAACGTACTCGAGCTGCGTATAGTTATTAAAGTCAATGTTTAATCCTCATGTTAATGCTCATGTTAATTACAAACAGCAGCTGCCGCGTGCTACTTACAATCACAACAAATAATTAACTCGTGAAACGAACGCAACGTGCCGCTGTTCTCAAAATGGATGCAGCTGCCAACAGCGCCAGCACCAGCACCAATGTCAGCGTTGCCGTTGCCATTGCTGGAGGCGCCACCGAAGACGAGACCAAAGCGAAGCTGCACAAACAAAACGCCAGCATGGAGAATGATGACGACGATGAGCCGCAGGCGTTGCCATTCTGTTTTGTTCGGGTGAGTGCTAAATTTTATTATATTTTGTTCTGCTTCTTCTTTGGGGCGGGCCTAGAAAGTTTGCATTAGCCCCCTCTCCATCCGTCCAATGCCATTTTAGTTGC